TCAAATCAATGTGAAAAAGTAATTATTTTGTGGGAGCTGGAGTTTTCAATACTGAAATGAAGAAATATAACTTCATGAAAATAATAAGACAGGCAGCTTACACATGCATCACAAATTAAATCTTACTGTGATGAGTTGAAGTTTTTTGATAGAAATATTTTTCAACACAAATTCAAAATTTCACAATTATTAAATGATGAACATGCGGTTAGTCTGAGAGCTCAGGGACAACAGATTTACTTCTAATTATAACAGAACACACACCCACATGACTACAGTTGGACCATACTGAGAGAATGAGAATCTTAGAATTTCAATTACCAAATTATGTATTTACCTCAAAATTTTGAAGGCTTAATAAAAAGGTGCACAACAGTGCTACATGTTCTTTACATTCTCATGAATAATTTACTGTAGAAACTCAATACTAGAAGAATTTATAAAATTCCTAAAAATGCTCATTGAAGTAAATACTCATGTAACATCTGAAAATTGTAGCAATATACATAGGTCGTGCCGAAAGTCATGAGCAACTTTTTTACTTCTAATTATAACAGAACACACACCCACATGACTACAGTTGGACCATACTGAGAGAATGAGAATCTTAGAATTTCAATTACCAAATTATGTATTTACCTCAAAATTTTGAAGGCTTAATAAAAAGGTGCACAACAGTGCTACATGTTCTTTACATTCTCATGAATAATTTACTGTAGAAACTCAATACTAGAAGAATTTATAAAATTCCTAAAAATGCTCATTAAAGTAAATACTCATGTAACATCTGAAAATTGTAGCAATATACATAGGTCGTGCCGAAAGTCATGAGCAACTTTTTTTGCATACAACCTGAAAACAGCAGACGAAAGAGACTATGGTGGTAGGTGGAACCAGCTGTTGTGTTAACCTTGAGTGTCCTGTGACATCAATAGCTTGCATCATGTGACCAGTATCACTCCTAACAAAGTGGCCAAAAACGACATATCGTTTTGCCAGCATGCTGTCATCGAATTTCTTGTGAGAGAGGATATCCCTGCTGCACAAATTCACCAGAGACTTCAGCGTGCTTATGGAAGTGTGTGCATGGCTGCGAGCAGTGTTCGAAGATGGGTGAAACATTTTAAAGGTGCGAACACCAGCATCAAAGACGAGCCTCGGAGCAGTCGTCCTCGAACAGCCTCAACTGAACGCAACAAGGAAAGAGTGGATGAGATCATTCAAGATGACAGGCATGTGACTGTGGACACAATAGCCCCAAAACTTGGAATGGGGCACACTGCAGTACAGGAGATGATTGAAAGCTTGGGCTGTAGGAAAGTTTGTGCTCATTGGGTCCTGTGGTTATTGACCGAAGACCACAAAGGTCAGCGAAAAGCCATCACCTCAGAACTGCTGCAGATATATCAACATGAAGGCGATAATTTTTTGCTCTGTATTGTGACAGGTGACAAAAGCTGATTTCACCATTTCGAGCCTGAAACAAAATGGCAGAGTATGGAATGGCACCATTTGCATTCTCCATCAAAAAAGAAGGCAAAGACAGTGCCACCAGCTGTGAAGGTGATAAGCACAGTCTTCTGGGATGCAGAGGGGTTTATTCTGGCCGAATTCCTGGAACCTGGGCAAACCATCAATGCTGCTCATTATGTCCAGACGCTGCACAAGCTCCGTCATGCATTGCGCGATAAACGTCCAGGATGAAACATCATCATCCTGCATGACAACGCTCGCCTCACATTGGAAGCAATTGCAAAGATGGGGTGGGAAGTTCTTCCACACCCCTCCTATAGCCCTGATCTGGCACCCTCTGACTACCATCTTTTTGGATTTGTGAAGGATCAGCTGCATGGACATTTTGAGGCAAGGGAGGCAATTGAGAAAGCAGTGCATCAGTGTCTTCAGATATCTGGAATGGAATTTTACAGAAGGGGAATTTTCAAACTCCCACAACACTGGCAGAAATGTGTACAAAGAAGTGGCAATTATGTGGAAAAATAAAGAAAGGTCTGTAGATTGAGGTGGTGTATTTGGTTTGTCAATAATAAAGCATGTTACTTTATAAAAAATTGTTGCTCATGACTTTCAGTACGACCCTTGTACAATTGCAAGCCTGTCCCCTAATTTCTGAACATATATGATGAATTATGGCACTAAGTTTTAAAAAATAAGGATACAGCAATAGTTCTTCTTTGAAGTGATTATCATGGGGATATGAAAATAACGAGAATAAGTCTGCATCATTCTTGTTAGCATTCTCTGAACTATGCAGCTGAAGATTTTCTTAAACTGACATAACCTCTTCTACTTGCAACCAAATGATAATCACGAGCCCACATTTATAAGTTAACTCCTAGCTACTATTCTCTGAGTGCCCATAGGCACATAGTACTCACACTCAACTCACAAGTTCCACCCAAATTCTGTCCACAATTCGCTGAACAAATGTATCAATTTCTATCAAACTTTAGCTACATTTGTAACACATGCAGTTTAAATTGCACTGATACTTATGGATGTATACTACAGAACTGGTCGCTCTAAATGACATGACTTGAATACATGCAAGTTTTTGACATTACATATGTAAGTGATGTTTGTGATTCAATCATTATACTTAACTGTAAGATGCCTGTTATGGTAGTGGCAGGTAAGCTGTATATGAACCCGTAATGTGTTTATTTTTCTATCAAATGACACACATTAATACAATCATAATGAAAACAACCCTCTTTGTAAGACACTTGGATAGGATCTGTACTACGTGCAGTTCCCACACTTATAGCAGAGAATATCTCATTATACTGACCACGAAGTTATATAAACTGAGATCTCAAAATGAATTTCACAAATATGTACTCATGAAAGAAAGGAACAATGCTGGTTTGTTTAGGTTCAGTATACACAGCATTTTCTATTTGTTCTTCCACATCATAAAAAGGTAAAAGAAGATAATTCATACTGTCTTCCTATTTTGCTTTTTTATGAGCTGCTACCTTCACAAAGATGTAAGACATATTTCAAGCTTTATATTCAGATCTAAGCTATTCTGTTTCATTGCACTACCTATAGCCTTTAAAAATTTTGCACTTGGTGCCAACTGAAATATAGGACACACCGTGTATCCAGGATCTGTTAGGAGTAATTTTTTTTAAATTTTGCCCTGCAATGCCATCTGTTGGCGAGTTGTGGCATTAAGATTCTTGAAGTTTCAGCTGTGGCTGTCTATAATTTCAAAGCACAAGCATCGCTGCATCATGTGTTCTGACCTTGAATGTAACAGTACTGTTCTGATGCTTGTCAGAAAATGGCAGCTGAACAGAGAGCCAACATCAAGTTTTGTTTAAAGTTATGTAAAACAGCCAGAGAAGCGTATAAAACGATGAAAAGTGTGTACAGTAGTGATTCATTTAGTCGCTCAAACATTTTTTGATGGTATGCTGTATTTCGTGGCGGCAGGGAGGACGTTGAAGATGCTCCACGTGCATCAAAGCCGAGAACAAGTTGCACTGAAGAAAATGTGAAAAAAGTGACTGAAATCCTTGCATCAGACACATGTGTTTCTGCAAGATTCATCAAGGAGCTTTTGGGAATACCAAAAAGTACTGTGCATCAAATTTTGACTGAGGATTTGGGCAAACGGAAGGTCTTTGTATTGTTTGTACCACACATGCTCTCAGGCGATGAAAAACATGCCAGAGTAGAACACTGCAAAGACATGTTACGGTCGGCCCAAAGTGATACAGAATTTACAAAATCGATTGTTACTGGTGACGAGACATGGTGTTTTTAATATGAGCCTCTTACATAGCGGTAGAGTGCAGCATGGTTGAGCCCAAAGGAGCCGAAACCAAAGAAAGTGCGCATGCAAAAGAGTCGAGTAAAGACGCTGCTAACCATTTTCTTTGATTCCAAAGGAATCTTTCACATGAAATTTCTGCCAGAAGGTCAAACAGTGAATTCTGATTATTATCTCGGAGTCCTGAATCGTTTGTGGGTGAGAATTCTTCGAATTCAACCTGAATATCGAGAGCAAGGTTCCTGGTCGCTCTTCCACGACAATGACCCACCCCACAAATAGAAGATCGCGCGCCATTTTTTGGCCAGAAACGAGATCACAGTCCTTGATCATCCTCCGTATTCGCCAGATTTGGCACCAAGAGATTTCTGGTTGTTCCCAAAAGTTAAGTTGGCGATGAAAGGAGACCATCACGATACCATCCAGGACATCCAAAGGGAATCTACCACAGTTTTAAATGTGAATCCACAAAAGGAGTACAGTGACTATTTTCGAAAACTTTTCCAGCTATGTATTGATTCAGAAGGAGACTATTTTGAATAAAAAGGGTGGAATTTTGAAAATAATTCACGTCTTGTAATTTTAATGAACACAGTCCTAACAGAACCTGGACACACATGTTTGATGCGACAAAACTGTAAACATGCACCTGTGTAATAATGAGTGGAAGATAACGTATGGACATGTATGGACATAAGATGTTGTAAATTTCTCAGTGGTTGAAACTTGGAGGGCATAAGCTGCTGCTCACAGATTCTGGGATGCAGATTTTCTCCTAGGCAAATGTGGGACACAGAGAGTGGGTTGACAGGACCTTTACAGGCTTCTAGCCATAAATTATTTTAAAAGCAAAACTGAAGTTTGGTGCAAAAAGTTATGGGAAAACTGTGGTAGCTAGTTATGAACCGCTTGCTTTGACGAACATAAATAGCCCTCATATTATGTGATGGATTTCTGTGTGCACAATGTTAAAAAACTGATTGTACCATTGGTTTTTGCCACTAAAATCAGCTCTTCAATATAAGCTTTACTTGCTCTACTGTGGTTTCACTGTACTTCAGTTTTCATCCAGCCAAGCACCAGAGCTGACAACAAGTACTTTCTCTCTTCAAACTGCTTTCCAAAAAGTACTAATGAACATGATTAGCAATTATACAAACTGTTTCATAATACACGTAACTGTGCAGATGGCAATACTCACATTGGACATGTACTCTGACAGTAGATCTTGCAGAGCCTGACGGACAGCATTACATTCTGCAACAATCCTCTCCCGCCTCTCATCACGTGTACAGGATGAGTCAGCCATCAGAGCTGCTCCACTGATGATACTCTCCAGACGTTCTTCCAATGAAGGTCTGGTACGGACCTCATTATATGCCAGTGGGTCCATAACAATGTGTTCCTACATGCAAATAATTCTCTGCTAAAACTCAAGAGAATTAAAAATTTATCATGTTCTTGGAAACTGAAAAAGAATACATACTAGTCTACATCAGCTTGCCCATGATAAGTTGACAGGCATATATCTGGGGAGCTGCACAGAGTAATCTCTAGTACTGTGATGCAGAGTAATTCCAAAATAATTGATAAATAAACTGAAAATAAATGGAAATAACAAGTACCCTTAAGATTTTTATGTGATTCAGATATTACTCATTCATCAGTGACATATTCTTTCAGTAGAGTGAACAAGTAATCAAATGCATAGCTGTCAAAGAACAAAACATTTCTTTTGGAAATACGGTAAAATTCAGCTCAAAAAGTCAAGTAATTGATACAGCTGTCAATTCTGACCAACAAATTAAGAAATATGTAATTCACGATAATACCCAATATGAAAATTCAAGATAACCCTTTTAAATTCTGAATTGAGGGGACTCTATTCAGCTTCAAGTGCAACAGAACTGAGAAGTTTAATGCCATTAATAATTAAGCCTACTACTGGACAAAACTCTGAACCAGGTGAATCCAGTGCACACCTTCATGGCCTAGTTCCCTAAAATACATTAGAACACTGCTTCCCAGTCTTTCAAGTGGGCATTCACAGCTGTTTATCCATAAAGTCATACTGCATAATCCCATTATCCACGAATGAATAATGGGTGGGCCACATCAACCAAAGCAATGTGACAATATAGCTAACTACTGTACATCCAATCCTGTTTAGTTCTAGAAACAATTCACTTCAAACAAAGTGCAGTACCTCACTTAAAGCATCATCCAGGTAGTAACCTGGCTGCACAAAGTAATGTCCCAGGTGATGGCACCTTAAGTAAATTACACCCTCATAATCACATAGAATATGTAAGACTGTTTAATTTTTGTTCAGGCACCTTACACAAATGGGACTATTGGTTAGCCTCAATATAAAGGTGTCCTTTCAGGTGACAACGTCCTGTAAATAGCCACATTATCTCTCATCTATTCATGCTAATGAAGGGAAAAAGAGGCATGAATAATAAAAACAACATTTTTAGATATGAATGGGAGACCATGGTGATCACCAAACAGAGATATATGGAAATGTACACAGCCTCCAATTTGTTCAGTTACTTAAAAAAATGTATAGTCAGACAGAAGTGTATTGGATATAAAATGTTTAATTTTTCTCTGCAACATTTGTTCAAAATAGAGCATTTGCTCTGATAAATATTTACCAAGTTATACTTGAGACTGCACAGACACACATGTAGATATGCATGTAAAGTGGTCGTTAAGAGTGCCCAATCTCCATGATTACTGAAACTGCTCAATAATTCCTTGTAAAATTCTCCAACATCAAACTTTATGAAACTCTGCCAAGAATTCAGTTACTATNGGGGGGGGGGGGACAGAGTGAGAAAACTTAATGCTCACTCCAAAGAGCTGCAAACATTCTTAAATATGGCACAGGGACAAACCACAAACTGAATAATTGACAGCATACTGTACATCGCTGTCCAAAAAGTATCTGACTTTATTTTTTGCCGCTGTAAGTAATGGCCAAAGGGGTGGGCAAACTGAGCGTAGTGGTACTGCATCATGTTTTGTCAGAAACTCTGGAATACCCAAGCGGAAACAATCCGCAAAATTCAGCAGGCTTTTGGTGATGATGCAATTGGGGTCACTCATATTAAAGAGTGGTTCAACCGCTTTAAAGATGGCCATATGTCAGTGGACAGTGACCAGCGTTCCGGGAGACTGTCAATGAGCCAAAATGCTGATGTCATTGAAAAAGTGCGGACACTGATCATGGAGGACAGTCGTTTGACCATCCGGGAAGTTGCTGATGAGGTTGGGATCAGCAGAGGTTCCGCAAACACAAATTTAACTGAGGATTTTGGGATGTGAAGAGTGGCAGCAAAATTTGTGCCCAAGCTACTTTTGCCAGAGCAGCAACTTCTCCGCCTTGAGGTCGCGCAGGACATGCTGGAGTGCGCCAACAGGGATCCTGAGTTCCTGAGGACTGTGACCACTGGTGATGAGCCGTGGGTGTACAGATATGACCCGGAAACCAAGGTCCAGGCACCACAATGGAAGCATCCAACATCCCCGAGGCCAAAAAAAGCATGACAGGTTCAGAGCAATGTGAAGGTGATAATGTTTTTTTATTACCAAGGTGTTGTGCATCATGAGTATGCACCATTAGGCCAAACTGTCAATAAGGAGTACTACCAAGCAGTCCTCCGCCATCTTCATGATGCAGTTCGGCGCAAGAGACCGGAGCTGTGGGACGCACACCACTGGCAGCTGCATCATGACAATGCCCCAGCTCATCCATCACACCTGATCCAAGGTATCCTGGCCAAGCACAGCATTCCGCAGGTTCGCCAGGCTCCCTACTCTCCTGACATGGCTACTTTGATTTCTGGCTGTTTCCGAGATTGAGGACACCACTAAAAGGCTCCCATTTTGACACTTGCGAGGACATCATACAGAACGATGGCTCAGTTGCACGCCATTCCAAAAGAAGTTTTCCAGAATTGCTTCTGGCGATGGAAGGACCACTGGGCTAAGTGTGTGGAAGCACAAGGGCCCTACTTTGAAGGGGATTAGGTATTGTAACCACCAAGAACCTTATCTCATATTTGGGTACATTTACTGAGTTCCTCAGAAACAATGCTGATTTGTGGGCAATTCAAAGTTATAAGAAAATAACTAGTAAAAGTTTGAACACAGCTCTTACATCAAAGTCATCCAAAGCTGCAGCCAGTTCACCTGGGCCATCATATGGGTGCTGCGGAACAGCTGGTCCCTTTCCTTGAGCAACATCTGAGATAGTATTCACAGCCTCACACACTTGTTTGAAGACATAGTCTCTGTTGGCTTTAGCAGCAGCAAGTTCTGGATGGCGCACATACACCTAATGTGAAAAATGAAAAATTTAAAACTTTATTTTAGTTTTGGGGTGTTGTGATTTCTCTACAGACAGAACACAGGACAATTTCACACACGGATTCCTTGCACCGTCCTACACAATAACTTTCAAACTTCATAATGAAGGAACTAACAAGTATCTTATGCAGTTAAATGGGTATGATGTCTTAACATCTCAAGTACTACTCTGTATTATATTAGGCATGACAATCTATACACATCAAGCATGTTTTCAATCACACTGTTTTAGGTATAATGACAGTCAGCAATATGAATCTGTATGTTCTGATTTTCAGATCTTCTAGTTACTTAAGAGTGTGACACGAAGGTGCTCGCTGCTTGACAACTGTCCTGGGTTCAAGTTTTTGCAAGTAAATATTATGGCAGGTCCTAGCAAGAAGATATGTATGAGTGATAAAGAAGTGTACTATGAACTGTTGCAAGAGAATGAATATAATGATATTTCTGAGTGAATATAGCCCACCTGCCTCCCACCCACCCACCCACACACTTTTGTTTCATAATTTTATAATAAAACATAGTTGAGATATTGAATTTTAAAAAGGGAACAACAATTATAAAATCAAATGCAGCAGCACCTAACTTAAATGTCTAAGGAACTTTACTACCCCACTGTGGGAGAGAGAACACAGTACATATGCACTCAACTGGTTAATACTCTCCTGTCAATCCTATCCACATTACAGAATGACTGCTCCTTATTTTATTTAAAAGTAGTTTTCCAAATGTACGAGTATAGGTTATACAGTAGTGGGCTCACTGTGAATGGAAAGGATGCAGAAGGAAGTGGTAATCACCTGTTTGTAGGTACTATCTTACCATTTTACAAACCAAAGAAACTCTGCAGAAAACCTCAGCCAAGACAGACAGCATTCAGGCTGATATCTGAACCCAGTATTCTGTGGACATTCTGAATACAATGCATGGAAGTTAACCATCATACTACAATATTTGGTTAGCTTCATAAAATATTTCTCTCTCATTTTATTGTCCTCCTTTCCATGCAGAGGTCTTGCTGAATGGACTAAACTGAAAAATCACAATGGACCTACCTTAAAAATAAACCAACCCAACATATTGTAATGTGTAGGCTGCGCCATAGCTCGAGCAGTTAGTCGCTGGCTTACCATCACAGCGGCCCGGGTTCAATCCCGGGTCTGGTCAAGTAGGATTTGTGGTGGACAAAGTGGCGGTGGGGCAGGTTTTCTCTGAGTACTTCGGTTTCCCCTGCTAATCTTCATTCCACCAATCGCTCCACAATCACTCTCACCTATCATCTGAGACTGGTACAATAGGCCAGAAGTGGCCGCAGTACAAGGGACTTAGTCCCACCCCACTAGCAATAAAAAAAAATATTGTAAAGTGTAGACTGTCACTGGGTAACGACCTTGAAACAAACAATGAAACAACACCCATTCCTAGGCAATGACCATGCAATAAGCAAATATACCAGAGCTGTTAATGGGTTACGATTTTGCAAACAAAACATGTTCCCATGAAAGTAATTAGAGCAGCAACATAAGACCTGTGTTTTCTGCTGGTCCATTCTGAGGGGTTATGAGGACAACTGAAGCAAGAGTTGTAACAGACACCTGTACAGGAGTCTATGACGAGAAGACTTGGTTGGTGTAGTTGAAGAATATCCATCAGTGAGATCCATTACTGGGAAACGAATAAGACTTGGAATGTGCTGTAGTGATTTGTAAAGTGTGGAAATTAGCAACAGTGTTTTAGTTACTTGTAGCTGTGACCTGTAACTGGTCAATAAATCCCATCTCCAATCCAAAATCCCACCAAGAGTCACTCTAACACGTGACAATATTCCTTCATTGTTCAAACATTTTTATAACAAGGAAACAAGGAGTTCCATGCAGAGCTCATAAATCCATCCTGTTGTACTGATTTCTACTTCTATAAATCTTGTGTTGTTGACGTCATACTTTAGAATATGTAAATGTATAATCTGATAATAAAATCCAATTTATGTGAGACCCTACATAGTACTGCCTCCTGGGATGTGACACAGTGTAGTCTGGTAGATGTTAACTGATGTTTCAGAGGAATGTACTGTCTCCATGCAGTACACAGTTGGAAATTCCTGGTCTTCAAATGTCACTGAGAGAAAGTCTCCCAATCAGCACATCTTTAGATCCACTTTTGATATCTGAATGTTACTGGGGATGATGTAGAAATGTGCAGATTTATAGAGTATCAGTCACTACTACATAAACATGGGAGGACAGACTACTCAAACTGGACTGCTACCAGCATGTATATCAAAACCTATTCTCTTTCATCAGAAAGGACTGATCAGGAAATATTTCTGGCATTAACAATGCAAAGATATTAAACATGGTGGGTGTGAGAGTAAAAAATTCAGTAGAAGACACTGGTACTGCTCAGAATAAGTGGGTGTTGCAGCATTAAGCAAGAGGTTGAGTAAATTTAAATGGTCTGTGGTGATTTGTAGAGGAATTTGGATGTTCAATGAAGCTGAGAAGACAAAGTCCTTAACTTAGACAGGAGTGTCTTCATTGTCCCTATCTTTGTCAAGATGTTCATAATGGTGGGCTGCATAACCATGGAGGTTTAATGCATGGGAGGGTGAGCTCTGAGTTTCCTGAAGACAGATGATGGCTGGACCATGGTGTTGTGTTACAACCTGTGGGTTAGGTAACCACAGCTGGAAATCATCAACATTCCATTGTAGCAAGTCCACAATGAATGTCTGGAAGAAGAAACATAAGCATTTATGAAGATGGGATGGAGTGATATGTGAACTAGAGTTGCTGAGAGATTGGATGGTTAAGGTTTAAGTACCTGCAATGACAGTGAGGGCAACTGAGAACCAATGAATAGGACTGGTTCACTGTCCTCAGCTTGCCGTCAAGGAATAATCTTCATGCATCAAGAAAGGAAAGGCCATTAATGGGTCAGAGTTCCTAGATGACACTCTCATACAGATAAAATGGGCGGCTCTTGTGATTGGAGGGGTGACCTCCACTGTAGTTCATACAGTGTGACTGGTTGGGGAATAACCATCAAACATTTCCTTCACTTATTATTCAACCAGTCATTACAGACAATTACATTATACAGATTCTGAAAATATTTTCTCTCATATTTCATTAAATATTCCCAATATTGAAGAAAGTTTGAAATAGTACTAGCTGAGCTTAATGAGATTCAATTTTACATGAAGTGCCAAATTTCTGCATGATGAACTTCTTTAAAAAAATTGTCAATCCTTAGTTTCAGCTTCAAGTAAAACAATGTATTATGTTAAATTAAATTAAATTCATCAACCAACTAGCAGTGTAGATCCACAACACTAAACTATTCTCAAAGCAGTTTCAGGAACAAAACATGTCAATGAATGGACAATGCCTTCCAATTACTCATTCATTTCATGTAGTTCATGCAAAGGAAGCACAAAAAGTAAAAAATGCAGAGGTACAATACCTTTGAAGCAGTGAGCAGCATCGTGGAGTGTTTCTTGAGCACAGCACGTGCAGCAGCCAGGTCATCTCTGAGCTGCGGGTCCTTCAGCTCTTGCTGTCTCTTTGCAGCTTGATTCATCAGCTCAGAGGCATTTCGGCCAAATGCTTTTATGTTATCAAGCAGCTCTGATTGACTGGAAGCATTCTTCAATTTCTCAAGGTCATCTTCAACCTGAGAACAGATGCAATTTTTTGTTATTTAAATCCCTCTGCAGTAAGAGGTTAACTATTCTGTTTGCATACAGAGCTACCTGAAGACATCACTAACAAGAGCAGACAGTGTACTCCAGTTCAGAGTATTTTCCAGATGCATCCTGTGAATTCTCCATGCCAATTTTCATTTACTGCACACAGTAAGCTACTGTTGGGAAGATAATCATGCTACAGTTATACCAGTATATGAATTTATTCATTATTTTTCTTACATATACATAATATTGAAAAAAAGTTTTAAAAAAGATGAACAGCTTAATAAAATTGATACTTTATGTTGTGTGCCAATTTCATACACAATGTCACAGTTTTAGATTAAAAAACACGAAATCTGATTTCAGTTTTGTCATACATATGAGCTTTCACTCTACAGTCTATCTGTAAACAGCAATACTGGCCACGACTACCGCTGAAGGATCTTTGCAATCTAGTCAATCCAATGATCCACATTATGAGGGACACTCCAAATGGAACCAGACTATTGGAGATTAATTTTGAAAGTACTTTCCCAAATTTCAAGACCTTTAACTGTAATGTACTATCACAATACCATTCAATTAATGCTTTGTTCATAGCAATATCTGGCAACTGCTGCATGAGCTATCCAATATGTGAGGAAGAATTTTTACCTCAACCAATATAATTTCAAATAATCAAGCACCTACAATCTTAAATAGTTAACAGGTGGGAACTTCAATAGTAACCATATATGAACAGTGAAGACAGTCTTCCAAAAATTGAAAGGAATCTACATTAATTTCATTTGACTGACTTTTACATTTAAAATCATTCTCCAGTCCTCATCTTCATGCAAATTCTAGTCCACACAACAGCAAAAAATTAATTAATTATTACCACGGCCCATATTTTGATGACATGTCATCTTTTTTTTTTCCTTGTATCCTATGTGATGCTCTTAAATATATAAATCTCGGATATGAGCTGCTGGTTACAGAAATGTAAATTTTATAGGTAATTTTTTGTCATTTTTTGACATTTTTAGGTTTAAGGTGATTTTTTTTTAATTTCTGGGGTAATATTTTGGGCTTTTATGGGTATTTCTTGCCATTTTTGGCCATTCTAAGGAATTTTTCTTCATATGTTTTCTGAAATGTGAATAATATGGAAGCAAAGTGTTCTTTCTTTCTCTTTCTCCTAAGTGCTCTCTACAAATGCATGTAATCCTGGCCCATCCTTTCTGTTCCTTTCGCGGAAGTGCTGACAATACATATCATAAAACAGGGTACGGCGATGACTATTCACACTGGGGCTCTTTGTACAAAGCAGTTTGCTTAGTTACACATATTTCTAGTCGGAATCTCTCACTTCATATGACATTGCNTGGAGGATGCGAGGGCAATTGAAGCTGCTCACAACAACGGTTCTCATGCATCGAAATGGAAGGACAGCTGGCCTTCATAAAGGCAAATTTCAGTTCCCTGACAGAAGGAAACCAATGCTTGCAGGAGAAAGGAGAAACGCTTGAAGATTAGCTTGCTCTGGTGAAAAAAATAGCCAGTGATTTAGAGAAAGTGTCAGGGGACATTGGTAAAATGGTANACTAAATCGTGTAATTTAAAGCAATTTGTAGCTGAGTTTGGAGATGTTATATTTTCAACTGACAGTGACATTTTATACTACAAGATGTGTGGCACAAAAGTACGAGGGTAATTCCAAAAGTAAGGTCTCCTATGTTTGAAAATATAAAATAAACATTTATTTTCAANGAAGAACTTACTGCTAGTGATTTGGTACACTTCAAGTACGGTCCCATTGTGTCTGCAGATGTGGAAAGGAGTTTCTCCAAGTACAAGAATGTACTGCCGGACAATAGGCGCTCTCTCACTTTCGAGAATCTCCGCATGTTGACCGTCATCTATTGCAACTCTGAATGAGGTAAGACTTAAATGCTGGAATACATACCGTATATGTTCACTTGATAAGCGTTCTAACACTATAGAAAAAATCGTATTAAAACATTTAGCTTCAAATTCAATCAATATTGCTTAATTTTCAACATAAAAACGACGACGAACTTAAAAGAGTAAAGATGAGTTCAGTGTTAATAAAGATTGAAAATACATTTTAAAATAATTAGTAGATATTCTGACATATTACATTTTTTGGGTCATATTTTGGGTCAATTTTCTGGATTTTGTCAGTAATTTTTTAAATATTTTCAGGTCATCAAAATCCGGGCCCTGATTATTACAAATTTGAATTATGGTCATACAGTAAATAAACAGACAAGATTTAAGTATAAAGAAGAATGATTCATACCACTCTTAATGACTTGAGTAGTAGGTGAACATCTACCATGTCTGCTAAAATGAGAAGCCGAGTAACTGCTGAGAGAAGATTACGAGCTGCTCGTACCATGTTACCCCTTTTCAATGAGGAACATGGATCATCTGCAAATTCTCTCGCTGCCATGCTCATGGCCTCTCCTGAAATGACATACAAAGGATCTGACATGGTTCAAACATATGTCAAAACATATTCAGATCTTAAGAATGAGTATTAGGGTGCCATTCTTCATCATTCTAAGATACTAGAAGGTCAGTATTGTCACATGTTAGTGACTAGACACAGGCTTTCCTAGCAATTGCCACCTCTTCATTCCACTATTCCGGTTTTCTGCCATCATGTCACAATACCCAAAAAAACAATATCTTCACACAAATGCACCCATGCACGCACAACTATCTTCAATCAGTTTTGCATCTACACACTAACAGTATAACAGAGAGGTTTACAGTCTGGTTCTTTCCACTCTTCAAACAGTCCTGTAGAATTCGAACATCTGACTGGGATGAAGGTTGATATTCAAAACATGACATATGGCACATGGTCAAAGTAACTATAAAGTACTGTCAATTAATCAAGTACACTCTTGTTGCTCCTTTCTGAACATTCAGAGGCAATTCTGACCTGCAAATATCATAATTTAAACATAATCACAACTCCAGCATGCACCTGCAACATCTCCTTCTACACTTAATCTTTAATGTCCAGCAGTTAATCAAAGAGTGTGCATCAGCTGCATATACTGGGCAAATACATTTCTACTACAAACTTAAATTTAAATGTGCAAGGACACAGGACCACAGTGTAAGTCAGTTCTAATTACTTGATTAGTAACATCTGACCCAAGGCATGTATGACTTGAAATTTCCTAATGGATTCTTGCATAACAAAAAAGAAACTTATTATCACTTTGGTATATATCTGTAGAGTTCTGTAGAAGGATAACAAATGAAGGTACATATTGTGACATGTTGCGCAACGGAGAACCCCCCCCCACAAGCAGTGACGCAGCGGGTGAGTCAGCGCTCCCCTCCCCCCCTTCCACATGGTAACATAACGCGCAGTGACATAACAGGATGACGTGGCACTCATTACGCAACAGGCAGGCACTGTGGCTATATAAGGGAACTGCACAGCAGCTACAAGTTTGATGTAATGTGACAGTCGCTGAGTTAAGTAGTAGTCGAGCGAGTGTGTTATCAACAGTTCTCAAGGCAGCTACCTACGAGTTAGTTCTGAGAGAGTTCCAAGTTAGCCAGCAACCAGTCAGTTGTATTCTGGCAATTGCAGTGTAGTATTTGTGATACTGCAGATAGCAGTCATTGTGAATCTGTAACTTGGGTGACTGTAAGTGCGAATGTGAAATAAAATTCGCTACATCAAATATGGTGTGAAGTTATTTGTCGCGTTATACGCCCAACACGGGACAACTGGTGTCAGAAGTGGGATTTGGACTTACACACGTGATCAATGAGATTCGAACTCATGACATGTGACAATTTGGTATCAGAATTGTTTTACGAACTTGAACACGCCTCGACAAATAATTGAATTATTGTGAATCGAGTATTTTACTGCTACAACATGGACATGGAAAAGATGATGGAACGTCTGTTGTTTGCCCAGGAGCAAATGGCAGCCAGACAGAAAGCCGATAGGGAGGAAGAGAGGAGGAAAGAGAAAGAAGAGCTGGAGGAAATTAGGAGGAAAGAGAAAGAAGAGATGGAGGAAATTAGGAGGAAAGAGAAAGAAGAGATGGAGGAAATTAGGAGGAAAGAGAAGGAAGAGAGGAGGAAAGAGAAAGAAGAAAGGAAGGCGGAGAAGGAAGAAATGCTGAAAGAGATTAGGGCTATCCAAATAAAAGCAGAAGCCGACTTGAAAGCCTGGCGAGAGAAGAGGTTGCAAGCCGATATGGATGCTTGGCAGAAACAGATGACGGCCTGGCGAGAAACGACGGAGGTGCATCTAGATAAAGAAGTAACGACGATAGCCTACCACGAGATGGAGGTACGTCTAGAAGAGGAAAAGCCAGCCACAGTGGACACAAAACCTGCAGTAGCACAAGAAGAGGTCCCCGAAATAATACCGGTCGGAGAGACGATGGCCTGCCAAGAAATGGAGGCACATCCAGAAGAAGAAGAGCCAGCCTCAGTGGACATGACATCTGAAGTGGCAGAACTACGAGAGGTACCCGTACAAGACACCGAAGTAATGCCGGTTGGAGAACCGAAGAAGAAAAGGCGCAAGGACCGTCATCGACGAAATATGAAGAATTCGACACGGGAAAGTTGTGGACCCCAGAATAAATTGGCCGTCGTCAACAGAGAGGTGTCCCGCCATGCAAGAGTGTCACGGCCCGGAGAAACATCTTCAGGAAATCTTGGACCTGAGGAGATCATGAATCCCGGATGAAGTTGGCTGCCATCTGCCGGAAGATATCCCATCGCACGACGTTGGAGAAATGCCTCCAAGAAGGAAACTCCCCAGGGAACCTTCGGATACCGGAGAAAGGACTTGGCACCAAGGTCTTGTACCAGCCAGAGGTGGGAAGTCCAGAAGGAACAATGACATCAGCGAGTGCAAACAACGCATCAAGAGCTGTTACGTCGATGTAAGAAATTTCCGACGAAAGACCTGATGAAGGATTGGACCTTGTGGAGGGGACGACCCCCTCCAAAACGGAAAAAGACTTCAAGCAGAGGAGGAACCGGTAATGTAGAAGTACCGGCCTCCCAAGGAAGAATGAAAGCGATGGATGAATGGAATACAACTGGATCTTCTGGCGAGCTGAAAGGAAACCGCTCGAGACGAGTTGGTCTTAAGAAGGGAGCGGTTGTAACGGCCGGAGAACAGATGCTGCAAGAACAGCCTCCAAAGCAAAGGAACAGGGATGCACCGTTAGGCTATTCGGGACGAACAGCCTTAAGGAGGGAGCAGTGTGACATGTTGCGCAATGGAGAACCGCCCCCACCAGCAGTGACGTGGCGGGTGAGTCAGCGCTCTCCTCCCCCTCTCCGCACGGTAACGTAACGCGCAACGCGCGGTGATGTAACAGGATGACGTGGCACTCATTACACAACAGGCAGGCACTGTGGCTATATAAGGGAACTGCACAGCAGCTACGAGTTTGATGTAATGTGACAGTCGCCGAGTTAAGTAGTAGTCGAGCGAGTGTGTTATCAACAGTTCTCAAGGCAGCTACCTACGAGTTAGTTCCGAGAGAGTTCCGAGTTAGCCAGCAACCAGTCAGTTGTATTCTGGCAATTGCAGTGTAGTATTTGTGATACTGCAGAGAGCAGTGATTCTGAATCTGTAATTTGGGTGATTGTAAGTGCGAATGTTAAATAAAATTCGCTACATCAAATACGGCGTGAAGTTATTTGTCGCGTTATACGCCCAACACGGGACAATATTAGGGAATATGATTTTAAGGTTAAGCCCTATTTCATCACCCAGTTAACTTCATTATGAATTAGGTTTTACGTGGGGCAATCCAATTTGAATTTTGCGTGTGAATGGTTATGAGTACATCGAAATACCACTAGGTGTGTTCTCACACATCCTTCTTGAATCAGTGTGGCACGTGGCGTTGAGTTGAGTGGTTGGGTTTATTGTTGGTGAATGTATTTCCATTGTTGTGTTTCCATGAGTTTGCGGTTTTGCGATGGCTGACCTGAGAGAGCAGCATGTCTGTATAAAGTTTTGTTTCAAACTTGAACTGCTGCAGAAACGCACCAAATGTTGAAGCAAGCTTTTGGTGAAAACAGTTTAGGCCAGACACGAACTTACAACTGGTATCAGCGTTTTAAAAATGGCCAAACATTGACTGATGATGACGATCGTTGAGGACGGCCGTCAACAGGCAAAACACCAGAAAATGTCACGAAAGTTAGGAATCTGACTCTGCAAGATCGTAGACTGACCATCCAAGACCTCTGTAACACCTTGGGACTAAGTTATGGTACATGTCAACGAATTTTGTCAGAGGAACTGAACATGAGGAGGATTGCGGCAAAGTTTGTGCCACGACTGCTGCAAAATGAACAGAAGCAGCATGCTTGGAAGTCTGCAGGGAACTTCAGCAACAGCTTCAAGAGGATCCAAACTTTATTTTGAAGGTTGTCACTGGTGACAAAAGTTGGGTTTATGGCTACGACCCTGAAAGCAAGCAGCAATCGTCGCAATGGAAGAGCCCTTCTTCACCTCAGCCAAAAAAAGCTTGACAAGTCAAGAGCAACATTAAGTCCATGTTGATCTGTTTTTTTTTTATATTGACAGGATTGTTCATAAGGAGTTCATCCTTCCTGGTCAGACAGTCAATAAAGAATTATATCACAATGTTCTAAGGCGTTTGAGAGAGGACATGAGGAGAAAACGTCCAGAGAAGTGGCGCACAAATGACTGGGTACTCCACCATGACAACGCACGACCACATATGGCTTACATTGTGCAGGAATTTTTGGCTAAAAACAAGATGGCAGTTGTTCCCCACCCGCCGTACTCACCAGACTTAGCTTCATGCGACTTCTTTCTCTTCCCCAAGATGAAAATCAAGTTGAAGGGGCAAAGATTTGATACAGTTGAGGAAATTCAAGTGGAAACGCAGATGGTACTAAACACCCTAAAAAAGAAAGACTTCCAGGATGATTTTGAAAAGTGGCAGAAACGCTGGGATCGGTGTATGCACTCCCAAGGGGACTACTTTGAAGGTGATGGTGCAGAATAAGATCTAGGTAAGATATAATAGTATTATTAATACAGTTCGGGAACTTTTGGATTGCACCACGTATATCCCTCAGCTTTCGTGCCCATGACTGTGAATGCATTCTTCTTGCTTGCCATTTCCTCCAACCTGTAAAAGCCTTCTGCAGTGAAAACATTTGGTTGTCTCTTATTCTTTTCCATGACCCTAAAATCTCTGTATGAATGAATGAATGTGTAAGTGGTGGGCCTTCTTGGCCCTTGCACCATGACCACAGTGATCTATTGTGCCTCCCCTTCTGATTATCCCCTCAGCAATCCTGCGCTTCAAATGATGAGCAGGATTTTGTACGTGGGGACATTGAAATAGTCACTTGGTTCCATAAAATACTGACCCAAGTGACATAATCTTAAATAAGCTAAGAACTCACATTCACACAGGATGTGTGTGTGGCTGTTTCGTTTTCTTCTTGACAACTCTCACAAGTTGGACTATTACTTACTCCCAGTTTGAAGAGGTGTCCTTTAAGGTGACAGTGTCCTGCAAGTAGTCCTACCGCCAATCGTAGCTGGTTCCTGTTTAACTTCAACAGTTCCTTCGCTCACTCTTTTAGCAGAGGGTCCTCGTATGAGTCCCTTTGCTTGCCTGAGTCCAGACAAGGATCCCCATTATTTCTTGTGATTCATATTTGTCCAGTCCCTGACTGCCTTTCTGGCAACTCATATAGAGATGCCTCAGGCTGGTTCAGGTCCTATGAATGGATGTTCAGCTACAATCTTGGCCAATTGGTCTGCTATTTTGTTTCCAGCAATACCGTCATGCCCCGGCACCCATATCAGTTGTACCCTGTTATGTTTGGCCAGTTCCATGAGAGTTTGGTGGCAATCAAAGACCAATTTTGAGTTGATCTGGTGTTTGTCAAGTGCTTTAGGTGCAGCTTGTCTGTCAGATAGAATGTAGATGTTCCTATTTCTGTAGTTCCTATCTAGATTCTCCATAATACATGCCTTAATGGCATATGGCCGAATGTCAGGTATATGTGATGCAAGCAGCAACCTGAGTTGGCAGAATGTCAGATATATATGACACAGGACACGTGCACTCTTTGGGAGTGCTGACAGTTTGACCTTGGGTTTGAAACCAAAGCAAACCTACATGAGGTCATGTCAGTGGTTCATTCCTTAGCTCTGAACAAAAAATCGTTTATCATGTACTGGTTTTGATACTATTTACATTTAGATATGACTGTTTATGACCTGGTCAGCCAAATATAGCCCAGCTTTGTTTCAAGAAGTGATGATGAAATATTCTTCTGTGCTTCCATGTGAGTGCTTCCAGAGCCTTCAAGGAAGTGTGACGCACGCAAGGATTGGTTTTCAGTGACGAGTTATCAATTAGGAAATCAGTGTCGGATTGTCTAATATTTCTTTATCAGGTATAAAATCAGTGTCAGACTGTCATACATTTCTTTGTATATCATTTTTATTTTGTGTCTTGGAAGAGGTATAAACCTACTGAGCCAGTATTACTTTGTGAGTAAAAGGCATCTTCGCCACTGCGACTTTCACTATCAGTGTCAGACTGGCACTCTTTTCGACTACTATTATAATTACTTTGCATCACTATTTTGCGAGTATTACCAACAGGTGAGAACGTTGCTTTGTCAATCTACATAATTTATTTGATTCTGCTAGAAACCCACCTCCCCCAAGATGATTCTTCAATCGCACAAGCCGAATATCACGGTCAGTGGCGTTTCTCGGGGGAAGGCCAAAGTTATCAGGGGGCCCAGCTGAGTTGACTGGGGGTGAAACATTCACAACGCTGGCCAACCAAAGGGAAACAAAGACATTGTCATGTGTTTCACTAAATAAGAAAAGCAGGAGCATGCTCTTATATTGTAAAAAGGGTGGTGTGGCTCTGTGTGAAGTGGACTGCTTCGAGAAGTGCCACCGGCGTCAGAGTGTATCATAAACTGTGAAGTGACGCAGTCCAAACTTGTGTACAGTCTGAACAAAATATTATTGTATATAGCGTGACTATATTTACAATATCACCATGATTCAAGGTTGAAGAAAAAAACAATGGGTAAGTCCTTTGGAATTTCATAACGTATATAATAAAGATTATATTTTGCATTTCAGGACAAAATAATCACAGTTAATTTTCGTTTGTAAAAATTGCTCTTTTGAGTATATTTAGAAAATTTTATTGTCTTTCAGACTGTTTTAGTTCGTATTTCTATGTTGCATAGAACAGAAAATATGTATTTTTTTCTGAAAGTTCACAATGTTAATTAATTAGGGCGATTTAAATACTGGCCACAGAGGGCTCCCAGCAATTTAAAAGTACGTATGTTGAAGGTTAATGGCATATACTTCTGCCTGGATAAAATCTCTGTAACTGTCCACAAAGGAATGGCTATGAGCAGGAAACATATGCTCAATTTTAGAAAACATGTTTTTTATATGCACCAGGTAACACTAGTAAGACAGCATAGCTTTCACTTTATTCGACCACCAAAAGAATGCGACCATGCTATTAAAATTTCCTTCTGAGGTCTGACACTAAGCACATATAAATTGAAAAATTACTTCAGAAATAACAGGCCAGCTTCATTCTCTGACCATACTGCCATATAAGTTCCACTCTTATCCCAAATTCCTAAATGGTAGGTCCAAAGTTGCCTGCAGTAAAATACCAAATTTTATATCGGATACGGTCTTCAGAGGATCTCCTGGAGAATGCAGCTGATGGAGCATGCCTTTTTTATCTCTCTTCATTTGTTCACACACTGAACTAGCTTTCTGCAAGTGATGATCATTATCATCTTCAGCTTTCTTTCCCTCAACACCAGTACTTATTTTGATTAATAATTCTAATTATCATCTACATTACAATTGTCTAAACACTGATAATGTCATAGGTTCCTCTGCACTATCACTTCACCAGCATACATCTTATATATTTTCTCTGCTGATAACAATGGAGATCCTTGCATGCGTTATGTCATCTTGCACAGTGTGATTAATATGACACTTGGTTTCCAAGGGCTTAAAAAACAGTTCCACTGATATAAGTACAAAATTTAAACAGAAAAGCAATATCAAGCAACAAAAGAATTCTTACACACCTGTCTTGCGAACTTCTTCCACTGCTGACAGCATTTCATGTTTGATGTCTGGATTTTCATATGCAATCATTTCACCCTTTTCAATAAAATTTTCTGTTGCCTTCTCTACAGCAGCCACAAGAACATGTGCTCGTTTTGATCTGCCTTTCTTCTTTTTTGATGGACCTTTGGTGTTTACTAATGTTGTCACCTGAAAGAGATTTCAAGGAATTATATAAATATTATGATAATCCTTTGTAATGTATCTCTTCAGCCAACACTTCATTCTGGCAAAGTAAGTACAAGGTTAGAAATAACGCAAGCGGCCTCCGTAGTCTAGAGGTAATGTTCCACCTCATGACTCGTAGTACGCGGGTTCAAATACCCGGCGGAGGTCATCAAATTTTTAAGGGCGGAAAAATTCAGGGAACAAGCCCTCCAGGAGGGACTTTAAGCCGTGGGTCCCATGTCGTAGCTTTACGGCACGTAAAAGAACCTCATATCTCCAAAGGAGGTCACTGAGCCAAATTAACGGACGTTTCCCACCCAACAGCAGTCTCTAATACCTCTGGTAGATGGGGGAAGCATTATAGATACCTCTCAGCTAGTAGAGCCGGTCTCGCTGGCTGGGCGGGACTGAGGGTAAGCACCAGTACCAGTAGGATATAGAGACTGGTAGAAATCATAGAGAGAAGCACAATGGACCAATACAGGTCTCAGTGCATGGGGAAACCCACCCTCTCCAATAACTAACTAACTAACTACAAATAACGCAAGTGAGGAGAAGCACATTTACTGTGTGGAAAAGTAATGGGAAAGTAGGGGCATACGAAAGAATACACTTCACAGTCACAACTTCCTACAGTCACTATCCTACCACCACCAGATGACATGAATTACTCATTATGTAATATCCTAAATTGCCCACTTACTTCATCCCTCTCAAATTCAAATATTTTGCAAAACATTTTCAAACACTTATAATTTATCTTTCCATACAGGTAAGACATATTTTGTCACCATATAAAATAAGTGGTAAACTGTTTCATACATCTGCATCTATATATTCGGTAACATAAACTGAGAGAGCATGAACTTTCAAGTTCATTAAGAAGCTTTCACATCTCCTCGTTCTCCAAACTTCACTGACAGCAGGTCAAAGTAACAGATGTACCTGTAATACCAATGGCTCCAGTGTCTTCTCCACTGACATAGTCCGAATCTCCAAGTTCTTGGGATCCCATTTCAGGGCAATGGGGCCAAAATGATCAGCCATAACTGACACTTCCTAAACTTCTTCTTCTTCTCCTCTGTGACAGACACAAACACAAGAAGTTATGGGAAGAACTAACTTCCTTCAAAGACCTAATCTGTTAGAGAAACTAGCAAGCACTATCAATTACTAAACATACAATTCAGTGATCCATTTCTGTATATAATTTCCATTACTGAGTATAGATCCCAGCTATGTTAAATTTGTGAAATGTGATATGAAAATTTACATCATCGTCATGAAACTTTGGTATCTGGTTCAACACTTAACTTGACTAATTTTCCAATATCATTTCAGTGTATTTGTTTGCTGTGAAAGCTCCAAATCTTATACACTAATCTTGATAATCTGATGCTCTGGGGGGGGATTTTTATTTTGTTGACCAGTTTCACAGTTCTGCGCTTCACAGCAACTAGCGTACTGCTGGCTGCAAGGCATATACAATTTTTTTAGATGAATCAGCATGCCTGACGGTCGATAACGTTTGAAATGAAGTAGTTACAATTCAAAGACCACAGGAGGTGTTGAAAATGTGTGTAGACATCTTTCACAATTAATTTTTTCAGTAAAAAACACAGATAGAACAATCCTTCCACTTACAGCACACCCAACACCAACTTTCGCTGGATGGAGCAGGACTTTCTGGGTTAGATGGGGATTCTGTGAACTCCAGTAGTGATTATTATGCGTATTTATGTAACCCTGCAAGTGAAACCATACTTCATCAGAAAAGAATGTCAATTGCAGATTGATCTCACCTTCGACAACAGACTGTACAAACCAACTGCAATAATTAACCGTGCTAGCTGGATCACATGGCTGCAAGGCATGTGTGGATTACTGTTGCTTTGTAAGGTTTAAGCTTCAGCAACTGTGTTGCTGTTCTTTCCCTAGACTTTGACAATCCAATCTCAGGAGCTGGATGTTTCAGTGATTTGCTAAGTATATGTTCAAGTCTGGCCCCTCCTCCTCAGTTAAGTACTTGGCACTTACATTTTTGTTTCTCGTCTATTATGAGTCCCATTGATGAAAGATATTCACAAAATTGTGAACTGCTTGTCTGCTGGGAACTCTTTCATCATGAAATTTAAGTGGAAATTTTCACCAACATTTTCTAGCAGATCCATATTTCACATAAGTGTCATACAGAAATACATGTTGCTCTAAAGTACACTGCACTATGACATACCACAATGCACACTAACTGTAACTGAGAACAAATGGCAAATGAAGCTGATAACTGCTACCTACTGCTGACAAATCAAAAACAAACTCCCACATGTGAACCCCACTGTTCGCAATGAAACATAATGCTGTCAAGCAATTGACAAGTTAATTACTTCCCCTCATTCCAAATGTTATCAGCCATCAGGCATGCTGATTCATTAGCAAAATCCGTATACACATCACAGCAAGTAGCATACCAGTCACCGTGAAACAAAGAGCTGCGAACTAGTCAACAAAGTTAAAAAACTTTCTGACTAATGAAAGGAAATATCAAGTAACATAACTTTCTACAAGGACATATAATGACTAAAAAAATTACAGCCCTTTCAATTAGACACATGTTCTTTAACCATCATTCACCAGTCTTATGAATGAAATAGTAAAATTACCTGAAGATGCCAGGGTACCAAATTTTAAAAGAGTACAAATTATTGTCACCTGGGATGTGATGCCAGGTAGTTCAAAATCTTATCAAAGAAATGTACTACATCTTCTGGGTCAAAGAGTAAACCAAGCAAACAACCAGCAAGAAGCAAGCAGAGCCAGAGCAGGTTGCTGTTTTGCTTTTGAACCTGAAGATGGAGGCAGTATGTTCCTCCAAAATATAAGCAAACTTCTACTGGACTACTCACAACAGCACATTCCAGAAGATTTGTTACCACTGTAACACTATCAAATCCTAACTAACTCCATAGAATTAAGTCTTCCTTGAGAAGCCACCAGCAGCTCTTCTACTAAACAATTTTCCAACTTTTACTTATCCCAAATGTTCATTACTGTATTCACATGAGCCTGTCAGTGGTCCCTATCATGAACTAGTTAGATTCAGTCCAAACCACCCCATCCTATTTCCTTAAGTTCCATTTTAATATCAATCTCCCATCTACATTTAAGTCTTCCTAGTGGTCTCTTTCCTTCTAGCTCTCCCACCAAAACCTTGTGTGCATTCAGCTTCTCACAAGCGTGCTACAATCCCAGCCCATCTCATCCTCCTTAACTTGATCACTGAACCTCAAATTTTATAAAGATATAAATTCCTGCAGTATAAACAATTCCTTACAATACAAAAAGGATACTTGATATATTCTAAATCAACAAACTGTTCTAACAGTTTGATTCCTAATTTTCTGTGCTAGTAGATACTACATCAAACACAGATAACCCCCGTACGTACATTTCTGTACAACCAACGTTCAACCTTATCCTACAACACAACTGGGTCGGCAAAATAGATAAACTAAGAAAACATAACCCCTTCACATTGACCTCTTACATTAAAAATCTGAATGGTGTATTAAAACACGTCCTCCATACGATGTATTCAAGTCAACAACAATCACACAATATTCAGCCCGAAATATTTATTCATTAACAAAAATGTTTCACACTATTCCTTTCTGGGTGGGTCAATGAATCACTTCCTACCTACGCAAACACCTAAACCTTGAAACCACAGATTGGTACACACTGATCCATGGTAACTACACACAGACCCTCGGTTAACGTCGGTGCCTATCGCTACCACACAGGAACATTTACTATTTTCGTTCTTTGCTCATCCATGTGAATCGCTGTTGGCTGGGTTGGCAGTGTTGGCAGTATACCAAAGGTAACACAGTGTCACAGCGGTCTTTTAATTTTATTGGAAGTTTCAGTAAATATTAAATAAACCATAATTTTCTGTATGGAACGTGCTGTTTTCCCCTACCACAAATTTATATGTAATTTAACAGTAGTGATAATCGTGAGAATCACTGATTGGTGTTAATGTCAATAAACGAACAATGATTTGGGATCGAGATTAATAGGTTATATGTAAGGGCGGTAAGGTAAATATTCCCGCGTGATTTTGGTGTGTTGGAAAAATATTTAATTCTTATATTCATATGAATAAGATTTATGGTTGTAGGATTAAAATTATCCGGTTTAAATTTTGATGGTGAAACGGAACACGTTACAGTCTGCTGTAAGGGAATCACAAAAGTGATAATTACCAGCAGGGGTATGAGGAGAAATACAGTGTACAGGCGTTGTATTTCGGTTAGGAAGAAAAGATATTTCAAATATGTGCTTGTCTCCTTGTACTCTTGAGAGCATGATTTATTTGTTACAGCATAATTCTATGATGTCTTAACATGTATTTGATTTTATTACAGGTCAAGGGATAATAACAGGAAAACATATTTTGTAGTGTAATTAATCTTACTGATATGCCAGCATGGATACAACAAAAAGTAAATCTTGGGCTGAGCTTTTGGATGAGGAAGAGAGTGTGGAAGAACCAGTTTTTCAGAAAATGCATGTGCCTGTAAAACTCAACTTAATACGTGAGTTGAAAACAGAAACTGCTGAGGAAACAGACGTAATGAAATTATCAGTGAATGACAAAATTGTGAGCTATGAAAAGGAGTTTGAAGCCGATGTGAATGTCAAAGAAGAGTTGGAAGATGAGAATGAAGTAACAAGACTTCAGAAGGAGTTAGATATATTTGAGCATGAGTGGGTAAAAGAGCTAAAACAAGAACAGTTGAATGAGAATCAAACAAGAGAAACAACTGAAACATACATCTCTAGTGATTTGAAACAAGAGAGGAATAATGAAATAAAAGATATGTGTGATGTAGAAAGTTGTAAGGATGATATACCCACTAAAGTAAGATCAGCGAAAGTTAAAGCAGAAACATATTTCTGTGAACAAACAAATGAGTTGGATATTGACAAACAGATTAAAAAAGGTTATGATGGAAAATGTTCAGAAGTTGCATGTAGGGATGAAAGATACATTAAAAAGGAGAAAGATACAGTGTGTCCTAAAATTGAAGAGGCAAAGTTTCAGAGTTGCAAATTAGAAGTCAACAATTGCAGAACTGAAAATGCAAATCTAAGTAACACTAAAGAAGAAGGGTATAGGAAACGAAGTCGAAATTGGCATGGTGGCAACCCTGAGAAAATACCTTATAGGTATGCTTATTGTGAATCTCCCCCTCCCCCCCTCTTATTTTAGATCTGTTCATTCATTCATTCATTCAGCATTCCATAAATCCTTACATGGTTAGACACCAATGGATATAGAAATAGTCAACATGAATAGACATGATCATATACTGTATCACAATTGTGTAATGTCATAACAGTTAGCCATATAAAAATATTAACAATACACAAAATGAATAAAAACCATCATCTATAACAATAAAGCGCTATCAACTACCACCCGTAACAAAATCAGAAACTTTAATTGTTGTCACAGTTGTAATATTCGTCCAATGAATAAAATAAATTTAAAAATAGGAATCTTTTAACAGCAGATCTAGTTTCTTTTAATCTCATGAGCTTGGTCTTTTATATTAGATGGAAGTTTATTAAAAATTTTCATTCCAAAATAGTGTGTTCCCTTTTGAAAGACAAGTTACACAAAGGATAATGGAGGTTATTAATATGTCTTGTGTTGATTGTATGAATCTCAGAATTAGATAAAAATAGATCTTTGTTCTTGACCACAAATAATAAAATGGAAAGAATGTACTGTGAGTAAAGGGGCAGAATCTTTAGTCTCTTAAACAACTCCCTACAAGAATTTCTACTTCTGGAATTGGTGATGACTCTTATTACCCTCTTCTGTAGTCTAAAGATACAGATGCAGAGGGGCAAATTACCCCAGAAAATCAGGCCATATGTCATAATAGAATGAAAATATGAAAAATATACTGATCTCATTTATTCTAATGACATATATGTTTTAATAGCCCTAACTGCATAGAAAGCTGAACGCAGTTTGGACATGAGCCAGTCAATGTGTCCTTTCCATGATAGGGTATTATCAGTCATCAGACCTAGGAACTTAATATCAGCGGTTGTAGCAATTTGACTGTTACTATAAATGATAGGTATGTCCATTGCGTTACTATTCTTAGTTGAGAAATGCATAAAATACGTTCTGTCGAGATTCACTGTCAGTAAGTTAGCCTTGAACCATTCATTTATATTTTTGAATATTAAATTTAGTTCGTTTTCATGCTTAATACGATTTAAAGTTCTTAACAATAATACTGGTATCATCCGCAGAGAGAATAGGTATTGATTTACTCTATAATATTTGGCAGATCATTAATGTATAACGGAAACAATAAGGGACCTAAGGTTGATCCCTGGGGAACACCACTGACAATCTTACCCCAAATTGAGTGAGTGCACTTCTTATTAGTTACAACCCTTTGATGTCTACCATGAAGGTAGGATTCCAGTAATGCATTAGTTTTGTCTACTATTCCATAAAATTTCAATTTAGATAATAGAACATCATGATTAATGCAATCAAAGGCTTTATTTAGGTCACAAAAAATGCCTCCAGCTGGTATTTTATTATTCAAGGCCTTTAATATTTAATTAATTAAATTATATGAAGTAAGTTTTGTGGATGAATCACATCTGAAACCATATTGGTGACTGGATAATATATTGTTATCCTTATGTGATGGAGCAATCTTACAAATATAACCTTTTCAATAACTTTTGAAAAGGATGTAAGTAACGTTATAGGTCTATAATTCATCATGGTGTTACTTCAGTAGGTACAGATAGAATTTATGTGTGACAAAAAATGATTCAGAACTGTGTTATATGTTGTTTGCCTCTTCACACATCCTTGGAATTGTGGTGTATGGAAGTATATGGAAGTTCATGACTTAAAAAATTAAATCCCATGTGCAGGTTGCAGTGACACCTGAAAGTTACATTAGAGGTCCAAGTCATAATTCAGTTTGATTGTAAGCTATTTCACAACCTATTGTCTTTATAATCAATTTTAATCTCTTCTGATTAGACATTTTATCACCAGAATACTGTATACACTCTTTTACCTGAGATAGGTGTTAGCACATCAGATGAGTACTAACATGTATTTAAAGCTATTACTATTCTTTTAGGTCCTAGCACCAAACTAAGCATTTTGATTACCTTGTAGGTTGCGGTGCAAGGGCCAAGAAGGCCCACCCCTTATACATTCATTCATATATATTACAGACAACTTTGCTGAAGCACTGTTATTCTGTTTTCACATACCAATGTCTGAAAAGAGTGGTATACAATTATTTTCAGCACAAATGAGAGTAAAAAGTCACGAAAAGTAATTGAATATGAGACCGACCCTGAAGTTCTGCATAGAAGACAGAAGCAAATTGACTATGGCAAAAATACAACTGGCTATGATCGCTACAGGGAACTGGTTCCGAAGTATGTATTTTTGATCTTAATTGCTAGTAGTATCAAGTAAGTTATAATAATTTATGTTAGGTTAGTAACTACAGATATGAAAGTATATATCCATTCCTCTGTACGCCTTAATGGTGTAGTGCTTAATTAGTTAAACACAGTGACAACTTTACCTTTACCTAGTAACTACAGGGTGAGCACAAGCCTAAATGCTGTTCTAGGCAGTGAGAAATTCCAATTGTTCCTTGGTTGAAAACAACTTTCTCAACACATGTCACTATTAAGAAACTTAACTTCCTACACACTGACAAAAATTATCAGTGGTGTCTTAGACTACCGTCAGTTAATTATGACAGTATGAACAGGAGAAGAGCAAAATATTCATTTCTCAAAAGGCATCTCCCCCGTGTAGTTTTAAAATATTGTCACGTGTTGGGTATTGCACGCAACGAATAACTATGCGTGGGTCTCGGATTCAGCGAATCTTTATTGGACGCTTCACTTATACACTTACGAGTACAATCATTATCCACTGCTTCACTGTTATAATTACTTCTTGTTCCACTGTCGGCTACTATACAGTAAAACTTGGTTATAGCAACATCGGTTTCTGCGACACCTTGTCTATTGCTTCAAATATTCAATGGTACGAACTAATTCCTCATAAAGCAACTGTTTTTATACCTTGCTTAGTACGACATGCACAAATGCATCAACCTCGTATGTAACGTCATTTTCATTCCTGAATTTCTCTGATATGGACATTGAACGTAATTTAGAAAGTGTGTATTGGGAAAGTAACAGGAAACAGATGAAGATAACTGATTACTGTACTCGTATCTAGGTACAGTAAGGCACAACAATTGATGTAATCTACTGTAATTTGGTGAGTAGGCCTACCTTTAATATACAGTATTAGTGCAGTGTGTATTGTCAGTGAAAAGCGCTGTAATATGTCTTTGATATTACACATTTGGGCAATTCCACGTTAATGTTACGTTAGTCTGTACTTAACTACGTATTTCACTAAAAAATGCAACATTTTAACTCGGTTTTTGGTAGATTTTTACGTGACTAACATAAGGCTACTGTGAAAGTGCCCATTTCGGTTACAACGACATTCGTTTATAACGACACTATTTTTAGGTCCCTTTGATGACGTTATAACCAAGTTCTACTGTTAACAATCAAGTTCCTTCCGTCAAATGTGACACTTTTTTAAGTTTTCCACCTCGTCAGCACCTGCCTTACATGATTGTTAATTGGTTAGTGTGACGGACCAGAATGAAAGACCTTAAAAAGTTCTACTGTATTTCAACTTTCTTCTGTAGCAGCTATTCCCAGACTTACTTCAGTATCTCTTGGCGTCTATCCTGAGACTCTCCGGCGTCAGAGTCAGAGTTACATTGCGACTGATGGTCAGTCAGTCAGTAAGTCTTCTGGGGCTCATCACCATATATTAATTATTATCGTTTGACAGTTACGGTCTTGTTTCTATGGGGCGCCTTCTCTGACGAGAGGATGGGTCTGTCTTTTGTATATGCTCCTGGCTTTTGCCAGCGCAGTCTTTCTCGGGTGCGAGTCCCTTGGGACTCGCGACCATATTTTACTGTCTCAGAATTGAGACTTGAGAGAGAGAGAGAAAGAGAGAGACACACACACACTTATGGATCATCTTCAGAGGGAACATCAATACTTATTCGGAAACCACCATCACAATAGGTGTTCTGATTGCTAAATTACATACACACATAATGCCTGGAATACACAATGTACACAATATTCAACTTTTCACAATCACAGCAGCCTTCCTGGTATTAAAACTTCTAAAGTGTTTAAAAAATTTAGCTTACCTGGACTTAAATATATTTAATAGACATGGACAAATAGAAATGGAAATACACAGAAAACCCATAGCAACATAACAATAAATAATAAATCATGCCACCCTAAAGAACAAAAATTGCCAGCATATAAAAATTGGATACACAGACTTCTTACACTACCCCTTGAGGAAAATGCTAAAAACAAAGAATGAAATACTGTTATTAATATAACACTAAATAATGGCTATAGAAAGGAAGACATCACACATCTATATAACAAACTTAAGCGAAAAATGGGTAACCTGGATAATAAAGACGAAAAAGAACAAAATGGGTCACTTCTACTTATACAGGAAATTACATATGAAAAATCACAAAACTATTCAAAAACACTAACATAAAGATAGCCTTCAAAACAGCCAACATAGTAGGTAAACTAATAAATGAAAAACGAGAAATAAACCCTTACGAACAAAGTGGCGAACGCATTCAACACCTTTTTATACCCTTGGCTGCTGCTATGCAAATGAACCCTCTGTTATAACCGTGGAAACGCTGCTTTGTTGATTCTGCGATTCCTACGCAACGGCCCACGGTTATTGCGTTGTCTCTGTGGGAATGCTCCGTGTATTCGTTGTAACTGTGGAGATTCGACGCTCTTGACGCAGCGGCCCACTGTTGTTGCATTACTATGGAAGTGTCTTTTCCAAACACGTTACATGCTTTCCTCCTCTCTACCCACCACCTTCCGGGTGGCCACTTGGTTCACCAGTGCTATTGCACTGGGCCTGGTTAGCTAAATGAAGAATCTAAATTCAGTGACAAGTGGAAATTAGATAGCCTGTAGATGTAGATGATGGGGGGATTGACTGTAAATTTTGCCCAAATTCAAAGTTACTCTAAGTGGTCCCTGTACTAGTAAGGTTGTTCACTCAATTGCAAGAATAAAATGCTTACTTACGCATGGAGCTGAGCCCTTCTTGAGGAGCTGCCAATTCTGCAGCTACTCAAGAATTTCCCAGCATTTTATGGAACCCGAAGGTTCATCACCGTGTTCACAAGAGCCCTCCATTGGTCCCTATCCTGAGCCAGATCTATCCAATCCATACCATCCCATCCTATCTCTCTAAGATCCATTCTAATATTGTCCACCCACCTACGCCTTGGTCTTCCCTGTGGTCTCTTTCCTTCTGGCTTTCCCACCAATATCCTATACACATTCCTCGTCTCCCCCATTCGTGCTACATGACCTGCCCACCTCATCCTCCTTGACTTGATCATTCTAATTATAGTTGGAGAAGAGTACAAGTTATGAAGCTCCTCATTATGCAGTTTTCTCCAACCTCCTGTCACTTCATCTCTCTTTGGTCTAAATATTCTCCTCAAACACCCTCAGTCTATGTTCCTCCCTTAACGTTGGAGACCAAGTTTCACACCCATACAGAACCACAGGCAAAATTATAGTTTTGTATATTCTGATTTTTATGTTTTTGGACAACAGACGAGAAGACAAAAAGGTTCTGGATTGAATGGTAGCAAGCATTACCCGAGTTCAATCGCCTCTTAATTTCCTCCTGAATCAGGTTTCGATCTGTTATCGTTGTCACATTTGTTGAACTGTGCCACATTTTCAAAACATCTGTTTTCTATCATTATGTCATGATTTTGCCCTGCATTTTGGTGACGAGACAGTAACATATACTTAGTTTTAGAATAAAATACATTGACTTATTTGCCAATGTAGCATTTTATTCTAAAACTAAGTATATGTAAAATGCTACAGTGACTTATTTGCCAATTAATTTACACAAGAAATTATTTCTAAAATGTAGCATGCAGTATATAGTCTTCTTTATATTGTATTTTAAAAGCTTTTACTTTCAGAACACTTTTCTTAAGAATGTTTAAAATCAAAAGAAGCTTGGTTGCAAAAATAAATAAATAAATTGGGCAAGCCATGATCTAGGACAGTGTGGCTTCCATTTCTTTGTAAAGATTTCACTAAAGGCTCAGTACTATTTTCTAAATATAACTTCAGGGACAAGAGAACAAAGAAACATCCTAGAACACCTCCGAAGCATATCAAATACAGTCGAAGGGCTTGGGATGGTATTATACGAGTTTGGCGACAGAGTCTACATTTCTGGGATCCTCCTGAAGGAAAGTAAGTGATTTTTTCATTTATTTACATAATTGAAAAGTGAAGAGGTGTTCACTCTCTTCATACTTATGGACAAATGGCAGAAGGGCTTGTCAGTGATATGAAACAGTAAAGTCCTAAAGAGAGACTTTAGGCAGAAAACATTTGCCATACATGCTTCTAATGTACATTTTTAAGTTGTCTTCAGGCACAGAAATGTTTTACACTGGAAAATCTGTGAACAGACTCCTGCAGTACCTTGGGAAAGAGTTTTAAAGTTTATAATTCTGAAGTCAGCTGTTAAGACTATTTTTAGTTGAAGAATAATGCAAAATTCTCACCCATGATAAAATGAAAAAAAATAAACTGTTAGAGCTAAGGTCTTTTATATGTTTAGGCCTGACATCAGTGACACATTATCAGACATCTCTGTTGAGGTGAGCAGTCAAGCAAGTGGGGATACATCAGATAATGATCGACATGTCAGAGTCAAGAGGAACACTCAGTCATCAAGTGGCTCCTGTAGCCTTGAATATGAAAACGAAGACTACTTGATATTGGATGAGACCTATACAGATGCTTGAAATATCATTTTTGTATACCATTTGTAACAGATTGTCCAATCTTGAATGTTACTGCAAATACTGTATAAGGGATGTGCATTTTATGCACTGATAAGTTAAGGTTGTTAAGGTTGCAAGTTAAGTTCCAGTAATATTATTACAGTAGGCAACAATATATAGAATCCTGTTACACCGTAACTAAATAGGTGTAAATTAAATAACATAAGAAATGTAGGTTAATTTACCAGAGTGAAGGCATTTAGAGATGCAATTGGAAGGACACCAGATATAATTTTATTTAACTTATTACTGTGTGAAGAAGCTATTCAGTTAACATATTTTTACTCATTTTTGGATTGGCTGGTGTTGATTTTACAATATTTAATTCTGTAATCAGCATATACACTGAAGCGCCAAAAGTCATGGGATAGGTACTTAGTATCGTGTAGGACCCCCTTTAGCCCGGCGAAGTGCAGCAACTCGACATGGCATCGATTCCACAAGTGGACGGAAGACCTCTGGAGAGATGTTGAGCCATGTTGTCTGGATAGCCGCCCACAGCTCCCTGGTATTTGTAGGTGCAGGATTTTGGGTGCGAATGGACCTCTCCACCACGTCCCATAAATGCTCGATTGGGTTCATGTCGGGTTAACGTGGTGGCCACACCATTCTTTGGAACTCCCCAGAATGTTGCTCAAACCAATTCTGGACAACTCCGGCCCGATGACACGGTGCATCGTCCTGCTGGAATATCCCATCGTTGTGGGGGTACATGAAGTCCATGAAGGGCTGCAAATGGTCACCAAGCAGTGTAATGTAGCGGTCACTGGTCAATGACGTGTTTAGGTGGACGAGTGAACCCAACTCATGCCACGTGAACACACCCCACACCAGTATGGAACCACCATTAGCCTGCACGGTACCTTGTTGACAGCTGGGGTCCATGGGGTCTGCTCCACACCCGAACCCTACCATCCGCCCGAAACAACTGGTACCGTGGCTCATCGCTCCACGCCACATGTTGCCAATCCTCCAGGGTCCAATTAGTGACGTCACAAGCCCAGGTGAGGCGCTGTGTCCGGTGTCGTGGTGTTAACAAAGGCACTCTGGTCGGTCTTCTGCTCCCATATCCCATGGAAGCTAAAGAATGCTGCACTGACCTGCTGGATATGCGTCTCGTACCTCCTGCATTGAATGTGGATGTGATTTCAGCCAGTGTCGCTTGGCTGTTACCACGGACAATTGTAGCTAGACGCTGCTGGTCACAATCATTAAGCACCCATGGTCGGCCACTGCGCTGTCCACGGTGGGTGGAAATGCCTTCCACAAGGTATTCCCAGTACACACGTGACACCATGGATGGAGGAATGTTGAATGACCGCACAACTTTGGAAATGGAATGTCCCATCCGCCTGGCACCCACTATCATGCCCCGTTCAAACTCCGATAATTCACGTTGGCTTGCCATGAGCAGACAGGCTGGTGTTCAACCTGACTCACGAGAGAACACCTCACAACTGATACTGCTCTGGGCATTCCCAAGCCATCAAGGGACAGTGGCGCTACATAAAAATAAATTTACATACTGCTATCCCATGACTTTTGGCACTTGATTGTATATTTTTTATTTTAACATGGGTTCCACTACCAGTTTAGGGTATGGACATGAAATGAACCTTTGGGTTCCCTAAAAAGTGGGAAACTTCTTGACCAGCTGATCAACTCTGAACTTTTAGACAGACTGCACCATGGAATTTATTGTTTACTTTTACATATTTTAGCCTTTATTGGGTACATGTAATTGTATATCATAATTTGAGCACATTCATGACTTGAAACCTACTGAAGGCCATAAGTTTGGTTGCAATTGGACTGGTCATTTCTGACAAACTACACTTTATACACATGAGATATGTTTTGTTCTCCTTCCATTGATATGTTTGTGTTTTTCTTAATTTCTGAACTAATTTGTATATAATATCATTTAAGTAAACCCAGAAGAAAGGAAGTCACAGCATTTGAATAGGTTGTAACATATTTTGTTGCTTAAAATTAGTTTTCACTTTTGCATACAAATTTATTTGTCTTGTCTTGCAAACATCTAAATATTTTTCAGCACTGTAATAGACTTGTATACATATTATAAGGACTATCTGCATGTGATGTTGCTGCTAAATATATCTATACAAAACATTTGTTTTTTCTTCTCTTTTTCACTGTATATGCCTGTCATAAGCAAGAAAAACATATGGCCCAGTAGTACTGCTAGGACAATGGGTTACTAGGTAAAGCTGTATCGTGGAAAGGGTTTAATAGAAAATGCTTGATATAATTTCTGTAATGGACCTAGTATAAGGAGGTAAGCCATTTTGACCATAGGCCTGGATTTAAACTTTCATTGTCTAGAAATATATTTTAAATCTCTCAGTACCACAGGACTAGTGGCTGGATTATAAATCAGCAGTAACAGTATAGGTATTGAAAAAATGCAACGCTTCACTGCTCACTTGCACAGTTACAGTAGTGCAATGCAGGTCAATATCGAGATTTAAAATAGTAAGCATACCAGTATAGCAATGGCGTTTACAGTCTGATGTCTGAAAAAAAATATTTTGGGAGCTAGTAACAAATAAAAGTAAAAAAAAAATCCTTCAGGACCTTACATTGAGGTCCACTGGGTGAACTCTTTGTGGAATTTTGGTAAACTTTTGTGGGGTGCCAAGTAAGTTGACTCGAGTGATAACACTTCTGACTTATTTTGAAGGTGCCCATTTATAATCTTTTCTGGGATACTGATGGTTTTTTTGGGGGGGGGGGTCCTTCCTGTTAAATTCTAGGAGTTTCCCAATTAGGCAGTGACCATTTCCACATCCTCTCAGTCATTCACTAATCATCCTAATATGTGTTGCTGTATAGTCTGAGGCACAGACTGCGTTGTTAACAGTTCGCGGACTGGTGATTTAAATATTTAAATTACCCTGGGGACTGGCATTTTTAAACCTACTACCCCAACTTGTGCACTGTTCACTTTAAAAATTAATATAAAATCTCCTAATTAATTTTATGAGCTAAAATTTTTGGAGAATGCTTACCAATGTTCCTGTTAGTGCTTGAGAGTGTGATATTTCTGGAAACATTCCCCTTTGTGAAGTGGCATTACACAGAACCTGCACATGTAGACAGTCATACTGCTTTTGTTGTGTACTGCGCAAACACGGAATCACCTAGAAGGCTGCTTCCCCTTGGAATGTTCACTCATCACAATTTTCACGAGGGTATGTTTCCGCTTATCATCTGAGAGTCGCCCAGGGAGGTCCACATGAGGCCTGCGTGGGGTGGGAGTTGATGGGCCTGGTCACATTAAGTCTGTGTCTGACTCTTGTTCTGCCACCACCATCCGATCTGTAGCCCAGGCCTTTGCCACATTCATCAGAAATGCTTTGTATTTCAATTTCGAATCAGGGTTTAGATTTTTGTAAACCAAAAATGAATTGAAAATGGCACAATTTATAAGCCACAAGGCAACTTTCTTTGTCCACTTTATTATTTTCCTAGGAAGAGAATAATAGGCCAAGTATTGATCAGCTCTATCAACTCCCTTCATGAACGTATTATACTCAGAAATACAAATAGGCTTCTTTACTTGTCCATGTCTCCTTTGAACATAAACCATGCTCGAATTGTAAATTGTGGAAATCATATTCACAACACGAGTATCCCTATCTCCAAAAACAGTTCTGCTATTTCAGACACTTGTGTTGGGTCCGATGGAATTTGTTTCACTCCTGGATTTCCAGTAACTGTCCCAAAGTAGGTGTTTTGTCTACTTTTCCCCATGTGGCTGTCCCCGCAATTTTACTACCTGCATTTTCATTGGAGCTACTTTCACTTTTATTGTCTGTGGCCACAATTGTTTGTTGTCCCGTCACTGCCACTGTCTAAATCACTATCACTATACGTCTTAGAAGGAATGTCTGGGGAACAAGTCAGATATTGCTTGGTTTTCAACCACTTCTGTCTTTGACTCATTGCACTACTAACTTCCTGCCTGGTACATAAGAGCTTGAAGGTTCAAAGATCATTTTCCTTTGGAGGGGGAACCCAAACAGCGAGATCAAGTTACTGCCTACTAAGCAAACATTCCAGAATAATATTACGCAGTAGTCATTTCATTTGGGTGGTATAGTGTTTTTCAACATAATTGTGCCCTAAAATCATAATAGTATGCCACCGGTCCGCCACGTTTAAAAGCACTGGGCATAAAAATATGCCACCGGTCCACAAAGTATTAAGTGATAAATGAACTGCAGCTTGGTAATAATATATGAATCTGGATGTTATTGATTTCTTTAAGACTGCCAGTTCAAACTGTATTTTGCACAAAATTTTCCGAGTTCAGAGATAAATATACAAGTGGAGAGACAATGCAATGTATTAAGGGTGCATTACTGATAACAGCATATCATGAGAAGACACATTACCTCCCTGCTCTGGTATTTTCTACATGTGGCATGTGGATAGAAAAAATAAATAAAATATTTCCATTAGAAAAATCACCACTTAGTAATGTTTGGGGCAGAGGGAGGAGATTGGGTGTTTCTCCCATGATAAACAAAACAATAAAAACTTCACTTTCCTACATTTTTCTTGCATCCGTATAACCAATGCAAAAATTGAAATAAGCTCTTTTATGATTATTTTGATATGCGCACCAAAATGAATTACAGGTTTCCCATGACCTACAAAATAATTTTCTTCCCAAGAGAGGTCAGGCAACTCAAACTTCTATGCTCATTTTTCTTACTCTGCTGCCTTTGTTTTTAGTGAAAATATTCAATTCAGCCAACTATAATGACATTAATTTTTGCTGTTTATGAATCCTATTTTGTATTATTTTAGACAATTTCATTATTCTTGGGATTAGTCCATCATCTAAAATTGTAAAAGAATTCAGCCTTTTAGATATTAGATTTGTTTTCCTCATCCATTGAAAGGGTGCAAAGGACAAGCTCAATTGTGAGCTGTTGTAAGCAAGTGTAACTGCTATAAAGATGTTCAGTTAATCCAATCATCAGATCTAGAACCCACACTTATTCATCATGCTAACCCCTTATACATGATAATATTATGATTCATTGGGGCATTTACTCTTCTTTACCTTGTTACGCTGTCCATCCTTGTAAGCTGAGTCTTAACCACTACTTTGTGTAAATCTGTAACTCGAAGCAATGCAAGTTTATGTCAGTTCAGCCCAGGTATTCACTGAACACTGTTTTTGGAAGAACGCTGTCCAGTGTAACAAGCTTCTGCAAACCGTTACTTTCAAATGATGTTACCTCACTTAAATTATCTAGATTGGCTCTGTTCAAAATCTGTGGTTCTCAATGACAATTCTTCTTCTATGGTGCAACGGCCTGATGTTGGGCCTTGGCCTCCCTTATCAAGCCCCTCCAGTCCTCTCTATCCTGTGCTGCCCTCTTCCAGTTC